ATTTTCACATGAATTTTAGCGGCAGAAAAGAAAGTAAGTGGCAGGGAAAGGATATTTCCCCTTTGACTTTTACATTCATTTTTCTTCTTAGGAATCTACCTTCTCTTTTGAATTGGTATACTCTGGCATTTGGATAATATTTGGTTCACCACATCCTATCATGTGTTCACCACGTCCTATCATGTGATCAGGTGGTCACGGGTTCGAGCCGTGGAAAAAGCATCTTGCAGATTTGCAAGGTAAAACTACGTACAATTGACTCTTGTGATCTGGCCATTCCTCGGACCCCACGCATAGCAGGGGCTTAGTGCACGGACTGCCCATTTATATTCTAACATTTGGATAATATTTGGTTCACCACATGCTTGAGGACCATGTGGAATCAGCCACTAATGCTTGTATCAGGGTAAGCCACCTACATTACTGTTATCCAATTTGTATTGCTGTAATAAATATTAAAATCAGTAAACTTTCTGAAATATAAATAGAAACAGAAAGTTAGTAGAAACAGTATGTCAAAATAATATCTGAAAAATAATTTTGGAATAAATCGAGCCCACTGAGTACACAGTGTGTCCTTAAGGAAATTATTCCCCTCAAGTACCCGAGGTGCTGGAATATATCCTCCCAAGATAGAACGATTTAATTCACCAGAGTGTTGGTACCAAAAACGTCGATGAACAGCGAACCACTCGAAGGCTGTAAAACACACTGGAATTTTTGTGCAGAAGAAAAAGAGGATCAGAAAATTTCGTATGTAAAGATTCTAGGATTCAAAGAATATTTATAGATCATTTGGCACTATTTCTGAAAAGGTTTGCAACCTTTCTGAAACGGCCATAGCTGTTGGAACAGGTGTGAAACAGTTCCGGACTGAATTTTCGTTAATTAATTAAATAATTGAAAGGAACTTTTTCCAAATAATCAATCAATCTTTGACCAAATCCGATGCCGAAGCCGAGCGACAACGACGGCGCGGGGCTTGCCTTCTTCTTAACTCTTTAAGAGCTAGAAGAAGAGCAATTGTATATATACCCATCAAAAGCCTTTTCTTCCTCCAATATGGGACAATGTCCCTTTGCCAAGGAGGGAAACTCAAATATTTCATTTTCCCTTCATTTCCCATTCACCCTCTTTAAGCTACACCAAGCTTTAAAGCCCAACAATTACAGCTCTTGGGGTATGGCCTTTTCCCGAACCTTGTGTGAATACGGGATGCTTCGTGCACGAGGATATTGTTGTAAAAACATGCTCGAGGTTGAGAACGTGATATATATGATTTGAAAGTAGTAGGTAGGCTGGTCACACTATTTTTGTTTGGCATTTTAGTTGGAAAATCATAATCTTCCATTTAATCCGTTCCCTTCTATTCACATCTATAAGTTGTTCATATACCATTATATATTATTTGCTTTCACTCCGAATCAATTGGCAGAACTTCCTTCTCCCTGATAGATGATTGGGTCGTCTTTCAAAAGAAATGATTTAGTGGAGAATTATCTTATTAACTCCAAGACACGAGATCTCAGAAAATTGTTGGTTACATATGTTACACGGGTAGCACTGAATCCATTGCCGCTATTGCTACCTGTATCTATTTGTACGAGTAGTAGAGGATTATCTCAGCTAATACAAATAGTTACTGGTAGCAGCCCTCTGTGAGTTCAGTGCTACCCTTGTAATATATGTCCCAACAATCTCATACTCCTTACTTTTATTCATGATTGTTGTAACGAGAGGGGGAATGGGTGGGTACCTGATTTCTTAGTCCATTTAGTTTTGCTTTTCCTTTGATCTACACAAGTGTAGGAAATACTTTCCACTTGTGAGAAAGTCAAACTTGCAGTTCGCTGTTGACAGAAACAGGACTCGTATATTGGACCTTGTCTAAAGGGAGATATTCATTTCTATCTTAATGATGAAATTTGGCTCAGTCTGCACTTTTGTTGGGGTCCAACAGTCCACATTTTTCATTAACATGATAGGCAAAACAATGAGGATGTCATTTCCTAAGTTGCTCGGATATGACTGTGGGTATCCGACACGGGTGTGGATCTAGAGGTTAGATCCATCGAGATGTAAATTCTAAGAATTAGGTATACGGATCCTAACACGGATACGAGTGCGGGGATTCGGCTAAAATAATTTAAAAAAATAAAAATATAAAAATTTCTTTAAATTATGAGAAATTTTATGAAATACTTACGTATTAGCTTGTAACGTGTGGATCTCTTTTTATTCTCAAGTTATAGATAAGTAAAGGATTGATTTCCTAGATAAGCTATGTTGTTTTCTTCGACTTTACCCTAGTTTTGGTTCTGATTTTCGGAAATCAAATTGTATCTTGTCTCGAATTTTTCTGTGTATCATAGTCAAAGTACCCAAAATCGTTTGATCATATCCGGTACGGATTCTATACCCACACCCACACTACTGTCGTATCGACACAGGTGCGACACCTAAACTGTCGTGTCGGAGCAACTTAGGTCATTTCAACTCATCAACTCAAAATGAAAGTCGTTGACAAACAAATATGATACTCCCTCTGTTTCATATTAAATGAGATACTTTCTTTTTTAGTCTGTTACAAAATAAATGACACATTTCTAAATTTGGAAATAATTCAACTTTAAACTCTTCATTTTACCCTTTTTGCCCTTAATGAGAAGTTTTTATAGCCACACAAATGGCATGGCCCCACAAACCTTTTACCTCTTAAGCTTTTAAGACCACAACTTTCAAAAGTCTTCATCTTTTTCTTAAATTCCGTGTCGAGTCAAACTATCTCAAACAATATGAAACGGAGTGAGTAATTTATACGCGCCTTCAAAGGAAGGGGGTGGAGTGTGTGAATGGTACAATATGTGACATTATAATTTTGCAACGGTAGGACAATTTATTTGTAGCAACTTGGCCCTCCTATCTCTGCACTTGCTATGAGATTTGAAGTGCTGGATTGGCTATATATCAATCTTTGTGTATGGAACCCTGATTTCCTGGAATGATATTTTTTTAATAGAGAAAGCATGTAGACAGTCTGAATTTTGCACTCTGCAGTTTATATTGTCGAGGATTCTGCTTCTGATGTTTTGACCTACATTCCTGCTGACACTGACTGCAGTAAAACAGACACAAAGCAGAAGAATGGTTGTGGACCTGTGCTACAAGCGATTATTTTAACCTATATTGTCCACACAATAGTTGGTTATTTTAAGTTTTTAACATGTTTGGTTTACAAACTATAATACTATTAGAATACTCTGCTGGTCTGCTATTTTTATGAAAGCCACCAGCATCCCTGATGTCTCCTTTTTCAATTTTGGTTTCTATCAACAATAGTTTTAGTTGATAATGGTCTATAGGTTTAGAATTTTAATAATGATTAATAATCAAAAGAGTCTTAACTAATGACATCTCACTTTGTGCAGATTCGCAACGGCATTGATGAATGAAAGGAAAAAACATCCTATAAGGAAATCGGAGGAAGCCAACGGCTATGTATTTGGAATTTTGCCTCAAATGGAAAGAAAATCAATCAATCAAAAAACAAAGAAGGAAAGTCAATCAATCAGATTTGCTAAAGATCCTCAAGCGCGCAAGAAAGGAAAGAGGGCTAATCAAGGATAAAGAGCAAATCAAAGTACAATCTGCGGAAGCTCTAATCAAGGATAATTGGACGAACCAATTCTTCAAGTTAAGAATGAATCTAGCCACACTTCTCAAGCTAGATTCATGAGGCTACCCTTGGGTCTCACTCTTAGAAATCTATGCCTCACAAGGAAAGACCTCCAATTATTGCTTATATGTGATCCTAGAAAAAAGGAATCAGAAGACTCATCGAGCAATATAAAAGAAGAAGTAGAAGGGCAAAGAAGATTACACAGCTTCAAATCTGTTTCTACACCTTTCTAGTTCTTAGTAGTTAGTACAAACACTATATTCTTGAGTTTACAAGTGTGGCAAAAAATAGGAAGAGTTAGAAAATAAAACAAGAGTTGCATCAACACTAGAAAGAAATATTGTTGATGTATACCGTTGGTGGTCAACGTACTAAAATCATCACTGTTGTAAGCTTACTGAAGATCTAAGAGAACCCTTATGACCCAAGGGAATTGGACGTAGGTACTACACCGGTATTGAACCAGTATAAAAATTGTTGCGCATCCTTTACTTTTCTGTTTGCACAATTTATTTCTGCTGTGATTGATTCCAGTGTGAAGTCTAGTCGACTAATTTCTCTCATAGTCAACTAAGTTTTAAAATCCGCTACAATTCACCCCTTTTGTACTTTTATTACTTAATGCTGCTTAATCTCTTAAATCTACATGTAAGAGAAAAGAAAATGAATCAAATTCATTGATTGCAAACAACAAATGAGAAACTAAAAGTGGTAATTTCTCCCATTGCATGTCCATCCATATCGAAGAGTCTCTATGTATGTGCGTGTGTGACATTCTATTGACGTTAATGTTGGAAGTCAAGACATTTAAGACTTGAAATTCCAAAAAAATCAAGAAGTAGAAGAGAAAAAAATCAAGAAAGTGCATGATTCATGAGATCACTAATTTGTAACAAATAGCAAAACAATAAAAAAGGACAAAGTTCTGCTATTGCTTTTCTCTCTATAATATAACCATGTCATGTTAACAGATGTTTAGTTTCAATCACTTCTTAGAAACTGCAAAACCAATGATTATTTAGTGGAAAATGACTGAACAAGGTTAAAAAGCGTCTACAATCTAGTATTTACAAATTGCTCAATTTAGGTTATAGTAAAGAATTAACACTAAGACACTTTTGACATTTAGAAACATATCATGAGCCTTTCAAATATATGTGAAGCTCAAAAACATTTGACTCTGAAAATGTGGCATTCATTGATGGTGCATGGGCGAAGGGAGCCTTGGCGTAACTGGTAAAATTGATGTCATGTGATCAGGAGGTCACGTGTTCGAGCCGTGGAAATAGCCTCTTGCAGAAATGTAGGGTAAGATTGCGTACTATAGACCTTTGTGGTCCGGCCCTTCTCCGAAGCTTAGTGCACCGGATTGCCTTTTTTTTTTTTATTGATGGTGCATGGGCGGAGGAGGATGCGGCGGCATGTGGTATCCAACAGGAAGAACATAAGGTGGATGATGTCCGGGAGGAAGCATGATCGGTGTTCCGACTGCTGACACGTGGTGCCCCGGTGGAGCAGCGACCGGATGACCCATCGGAGCACCATACATACTCAAACCATGCATATTGGGCTGGTTTCTTTGCCCGAGATTGGGTCCAACTGCATTTGATGGGCTTGGATTGGTTTGTTGGCCTGTTATAGGAGTCTGATTTGTAGCAACCTCCCCATTGTTGACACTTGTAACGTCATGTATGCTGGACCTTCTCCTATCTCTATTCATGGAATTTAATCGGATAAAGTACTTTTGGGCATGACTAGCCACTTGAGTTGGTGTTCTGGAAATCACATAATTCCTTGAAATACTTCTCCAATCTCCCTTTCCAAACTTATCTAAACCAAGCAAGAATAACCTGTAAACAAATGGTAAGAGAAGTATAGTAAGCACAGCGACCAATTCAGGATTTTAAGTCTGCACCTACTACTTCTCAGGGACCCTTCCATAAAGCAAGTAAAGCAACCGCTTTAGGCCCCATATTTATGAGGACATCTTTTTTTGTTACACCTAATAGACTATAAAGTTTAAAACAAACTATAAAGTGAAAAAGTTTGATTTCTTTCTTTAAATATAGAGAAGAAAGATTTGCAACTACTATGATTTATATCAAGGAAATTGCACTTGAAATAAATATTGAACATGAATTTCCTAAGAACATGTGATATATAGGAAGTAACAGTTTGGTGCAAATGTTGATAATGAAATCTCAAAAACTTTCGAAGAGTCCTTTAGAGTTGATTATTTTTATACATAATAGACAAGACTATTTTTTCACTTCAAAATAGATTTGAATAATTGGAAGCATATGAAAATATTTTTGGTTTTCTATTTGGTAGTAAAAACTAAGATCACTAGATGTTGGAAATTTGAAAAAATATTGCCTTAATCTTGAACGCTCCTTAAAGCATAATAATCAATTCGATTTTGATGGTTTAGATTTATTTTCTGAATTAAAAGTATTAAAAAAAAATAGTACAATTAGAAGATAACAGTTTAATTAATACACCTAATCAAATACAAAGATTTTATTTTTTTCCAAATGCCTAAATTGCTTATGGAATAATGTTCATAACTCATGTTACCGTTGCTTCAGCGGAAAGAAGTTTTCAAAATAAAAATTAATAAAATCTTGCCTAAGAACAACAATGTCACAAGAAAGGTTAAATGGAAATGGATTAGCTATATTGTCACTTGAGAAATACTTATTAGAAGTTATTTATTATAAGAAAATTATTAATAACTTTGTATCTAAGAAAAGCTAAAAAAATAAACTTCAAATAAATAATTAATTTTTTTTAAAAAAAGTTAAGGCCCCTCATAAATTTGGCTTTAGGCCACAAAATTCGTCGGGCCGCCCCTGCTGCTTCTTTGTGACAATAGGTACGAATCTTATATAAATATACATTGTACATTTGCAACTAATGGTAAGATCTTATAAGCAATTATTCATAAAATAAGCCATCAATTATATCTACTCAACCCAGGGGCGAAACTACATTATCCGAAGAGTGGCCAATTGACTACCCTTCTACACTATGTACATAGATAAAATATTAGGTTTTAGAAGTATATAATATATACTGAACACCTTTGTTCGGATTTTTTTCACTTCTTTCAAGTTTGAACACCTTTTTGGAAATTCATGACTTCACCATTGACTCAAACCTGAAGGTAGTGCACTAGAAAAACTCTGTTTTAGATTAAAAATGTAGTGTTACCTATGCTCTTCTTCAGTCCAAGGTATTCCTTTTCTTCTTTCTTGTTCAGATTTGGAACTTCCTTTTCCTCCTTGGCCAATTTGGTCATGTACACTACCTGAAAATCCATTTACATAACTACAATTGGACCGCCCGTTCGATATCCCTGAATAGCCATGGCTGCTATCTTTGGTTGAAGAAGAGGTTTCCTCTCCTGTGTATAATGGAATTGGAACATTGCCAGCTTCAATTGCAGTAACATCATCCACTAGTAGTTGGTAATGTTGTTTTAGTTCTTGAATGGTTTTACTTGGAACCATAGAAGCAATCTTTTGCCATTGTAATTTGGAGTCCTCAATCCAATGAATAGCAATTGCATTTTCAAAGGCTTTCTCTTCTTCTCTACTCCACATTAGTGATGATGTTGATGTTGACATGTTTCTTTTCTTGATTTGCTTTTGCTTCCTTTTCAGTTCTTAGTCCAATTTGGTAGTGTGGCAGCAGTGTTAAGGGAAAAAAAGAGAAATACTTTCTTGGTAGATTTCTTTGTTAATGCCTCTTTTCCCTAAAAAGAAGGAAAAGAGTAGAGGGGCAGAGGATAGGAGAAGTAGTAGGGGGGAAATAGAGGTTGTAGGATAAGAATACTGTTTCAATGTATTAATGGAGGTAGGACCACTTGTGAATTGTGAGGTTGAAGTGATGGGCTGATTTGTCATGTTCAATTAAATAAAGTCATGCAACAATTTGGCATAAAAACAAAAAGAAGAATAAAAAGGTAAATACCCTTTTCAATTCTCTCACCCTAAGAAAAAGAATTTAAAGAAGAAAAAAGAACTATAGTATGATTGAATAGACTAAAGTTTCAAAATGGTAAAGACCCCATTTGGGTCCATTTTCAAAACCTCAAAAGTAAAAGTACACCATAAAGAGTTTTCTCATGAAAAATGAGAAAATTGCAACAAATAATGATTAAATTGGTTGGAATTTCAACAAACAATAACAAATTCAGTGTTATCGTGCCGATTTTACCCTTACTTTATGAAGGTATGAGGATATTTTCGATAAATCCTCTGCTCAAGTCAAATGGTACTAGCAATGATTGAGAGGACTTTATAGAAAATTGTCTAACATGATTTTTTGGATTACACACCGTTAGCGAAGGCAATTAGGCCGGGTTATAAAAGGTTCTATTTTAAGGACTCTTTCAAGTCGGTTAAAATTTACAATGGTAAAATCCTTGTGTAACTATATTTCTCTCTAATAACTCTTGTACTACCATATACTAAAAAGTCAGAGTCCCCTAACAGATATTCCGAAAATTTGTGGAGAAAATAAGACTAAGGGTGTGTTTGGTACGAAGGAAAATGTTTTCCATGGAAAATGTTTTCCTAGAAAATGTTTTCATGGAAAATGAGTGGTTTTATCACTTATTTTCTCTTATTTGGTTGGTAAGTGAAAAATATTTTCCGGAAAATATTTTCTATTGTTTGGTTAGAGAGTAGAAAATAGTTTTTTTTAGGAAAATATTTTTTATGCAACTCTCCTCACCCCTCCCCCTCCCCCTCCCACCTCCCCCCACCCCTCCCCCTCCCCCATCCCTTCCCGAAGTCTCTAAAAATTGACACAATCTAAAGGAACTAATGTGATGCTTTACTTTTTAACGCAAAAACCGCGTATTTTCGAACCCGTAAACTTTATAATTTCTAAACCCGTAAACTTCCAAACACATAAACCTCTGAACTCATAATTTTGGAACTTGTAAAATTTTGAGCCTTTAAATCGATAAATAATAAAATTAAAAACTAAAAAATATATTTTAAATTTTTTTTCGGGGGTGGGGTGGGGGACAGTAAAACGAAAAAAAAAAAAATTAGTAAATTACAAAAAAAAAACTTAGTGCCGGGGGTAGGGGGAGGGGTGGGGGGTGGGT